ATTCGTTGAAGCGGGCAGCCGAACCCATGTTTTTTGGTTACAGTAAGTCATACTATATGGATCAACATCTCACTGTGGGTATATACATGGGCAATTATTAAAGCTAGTCTTATTGTAACAATGGTTTATAAATACATGTTAATCTTCTATGTAAATTTAGCAACAAAGCATACAATGAAAATAAATAGTGTAGAATCCAGGATTTCAATTATTATTGTAGATGGTAGTGTGACAATAACAACCCAAAGGGATGAGGATAAACTGATAAGCATTCATTATTGTAATTTATTGAATTTAAGTTGGCATAAATTCAAATTGTAGTGTTATAACTCTAGGATGGTAAGTGTAATCCACGTGGGAACTAGAGACAAAATCACCATAGAATACAAACAAAAGGAAATGAGAAAGGTATTCCAACACTTTACTAGAAAAATCAACTAGCAAACAAAAGTAGGAATGTGCAAGAAGGGGGCGGGGGAGAAAGCTTTAAGAAAACAAATAGCTCCCTCCTTGTCAGAAATTACTTTAAACTTAAATGGATTACATTCTATAATCAAAAGGCAGAATGGCTAAAAACAAAAGACTCTATTCTGTCTACAGGAGACTCACTTGAGATTCAAAGAATCCAATCAGTTCAAAAAGAAAGAATGGAAAAAGATCTTCCATGCTAATGGTGACCAAAAGAGGGTGGCTATACTAATTCAGGCAAAATAAAATTTGAATCAGAAAAGGTTGTAAGAGACAAGAAGCACATTATATTTTAACTAGAGGCCCACTGCACCAAAATTTGTGCACTTGTATAGGGAGGGTCCCTCAGCCTGGCCTGTGCCCTCTCTCAGTCTGGGACCCCTCGGGGGATGACCACCTGCTCGCTTAGGCCTGTGCCCCAGGGGATTGGGCCTAAGCTGACAATCAGACATCCGTCTGGTAGCCCGGGAGCCCTCGGGGGATGTCCACTTGCCAGCGGGGAGCAGGCCTAAGCTACAGTCAGACATCCTTAGTGCTGCTGAGGAGGTGGGAGAGGCTCCCACCACCACCACTGTACTGGCAGCCGTCAGCCTGGCTTGTGACTGAGCAGAGCTCCCCCTGTGGGAGCACACCAACCACCAGGGAGCAGCTCCTGCATTGAGTGTCTGCCCCCTGATGGTCAGTGTGTGTCAAAGTGACCAGTCATTCCCAGGCTTTCTGCTTTTAGGGTCAGTTTGCATATTACCCTTTTATTATATAGGATAGAGGCCTGGTGCATGGGTGGGGGCCGGCTGGTTTGCCCTTCAGGGTGGGGGTC